GGACTGTGCCGCAGTTATACCTGAACATCAATTTGGCTTCCGAGCAGGACACAGCACTATACAGCAAGTACACCGTCTTGTTCATCACATCAACATGTCCTTTGAAAGGGGAGACTATACGTCAGGCGTCTTCCTAGATATTCAACAGGCATTTGATCGTGTATGGCACGCTGGTCTTCTTTTTAAGTTAAAAATGTACACAAGCGAACCCCTCTACGAATTATTGAAGTCCTTTCTATCCAACCGAAGCTTCAGTGTACTAAGCAATAGCACAGAAAGCAATAATTCCAACCGTAGCACTCCCGCTCCTCACTCCGTCCCACTCCACTCGTCTGTGCGGCCCATACTAGCCGGGGTACCACAAGGTAGCGTACTAGCCCCACTACTCTTCAACATATATGTCTCCGACATGCCTTGCATAGCCACATACATCCAATCTACAGATCAGCACCCTTATTCAAAAATTACCGGTCTAACGGCAACATACGCTGACGATACTGCCTTTCTGTGCAGTGCCAGCAATGCTGAAATTGCCTGCAACTTCATGCAAGATCATATGAATCGGTTTGCTGAATGGGCCAAAAAATGGAACATTCAAGTTAACGGCAACAAGTCAGCGCATATCCTCTTCACTCTACGCAGCACCAGCTTGACTCCTGCCATAAATATAAATGACAATATCATACCGACCAAGAGCTGTGTAAAGTATTTAGGTCTCCACTTAGACAACAAATTAAATTGGTCACGCCATATTCGCATTACCACTCAATCCATACGCACTAAATTGTCCAAATACAAGTGGCTTCTATCTGCTAATAGATCCAAGCTATCGCTAAAAAATAAACTATTAATTTATAAACAGATCATAGCTCCTGCCTGGTACTATGGCATTGAACTATATGGTTGTGCTGCCGATACGCACCTACGCAAATTACATAGCATTCAATCCCAAGCTCTCCGTCTAATCTGCAATGCACCTTTCTATGTCAGAAACCGTACACTTCATGCTGACACAAAAATCCCCACAGTATGGGATGTAATCAATAACCGTGCCAAGCAGTATAACGACCGACTGGGAAGTCACAAAAACAAATTGGTAAGGTTGCTGCTTATGTCAGGAAATAATAGAGTTCAACGAAGGCTCAGGCGAATCTGGCCAGGGGCTGAGCTAATACGGCGCAGAGGTCCACCATTTCTCCTTTAAATTCCCCTCGCTGTGTCAGCCGCGGAATTACACACACACATCAGCCAAGTCAAAAATATTAAACGAATACTGCCAGCTTCCAAAATAGCGTCTAATATTTCTACCACACAGTCTACAAAATGCACACAATAGCTCCTAAAAATAGCCCAATTGGATAAGTACAATGGAAACACTACGACATAATGGACTTCCGGATTTTTATAAAATTTCTCAAATGTATCCCAAATTACCAGTACCTCACTACCAAGCTACCTCACCTAATCAAATCGTAAGTTAAAAGCAAATAATTATGCTAATACCTAAAATTGGAAGAAAGCTAATTATGTAATTTCCAACTGAAATAAGAGGTAGCATTTATTCCTTAAATAGAGAATAATTTTCTTTTCTTACACCTAATTTCTGTAAGCTTCTGCATACTAGCAATGCACTACTTACCATTAATTGTCAACAAATAAATCGCAACTCGGACTCACTTGGAGTGTATTAACTGAGCACATCTCAGTGCTTCCTAATTTCTCCCTAAAAATTTGCCGTGGCTTGTGGTTGACAAAGGGAGCGAACTCTGGTCTCCTTTATACAAGAACCAAACTTCTAAGCACCTCCTATAAACAAGCATGTGCTTGGTGTCATTGATCCACTTGAATATATTTATTATATCAACGATCAATCAGCCAATTGGTGTAAAACTGTAAGCTTCTGCATACTAGCAAAGCACTACTCTTATTACCATTAATTGTCAACAAATTAATCGCAACTCGGAATCATTTGGAGTGTATTAACTGAAAACTTCTCAGTGCTTTCCAGTTTCTCTCTAAAAATTTGCCGTGGCTTGTGCTTGACATAGGGAGCGAACGCTGGTCTCCTTTATTCAAGTACCAAACTTCTAAACACCTCCTATAAACAAGCATGTGCTTGGTGTCATTGATCCACTTGAATATATTTATTATATCAACGATCGATCAGCCTTAACTCTTCTAGATTTGTTTTAATCTCGGCTGTCAATCTTCCTCTCTTGAATCAAACTCACCCTAAGCTTCTTGACGCCTGTTTAGTGAAAAACCCCTTTCTTCCGTTTTATATTGATCAGAAGCAGGAACAATTCCTTTTTACCCTCACTTTTACGACTCACCGCTTCCAGTCTGCAGTCGTTGCTCTAGTAACGATAAAATCAGCTGCTCCACCATTACGGTTAAACAGTCAATTATGGTAAGTTTTCCCAGTTTATACAACATTACTAACCTCCCTTCATTTGCATGCAACCTGACACGGATTCTTGCACGAGCATTTGTACCTGGCCCCTTATAATCTCTGCATACAGCAACAAGAATGGCAGTGGTCTTCATCTCCACCACGTTTTGGTTCTTGTGCCTTTGAATCGAATCCTGGGGCCTCCTAGCTGATGTCCGTGTTTTATTGCTGATGTTTTTATGCTTGATGCCCTATAACTGCCACTACCTTCCTCAATGGTCTGCAAAACCGTCTATGATGATCATATTTAATGCCTTATACTGTATATTGTTCTTGATGTGCCTCCCGTTATGCCCTGTGCCATATTACTGATGTACTTATGCTTGATAATCCACAACACTACCCATTATGACGTCTATTGAGCAAATCCTGTTAACTGATGCCCTTATGCTTGATACTCTAAAATTTCTCTCTGCCACTACACCATCCACGATGCTTACGTCAACCGTACTACGATGTACTTGATACTCCTCTTGATGTCCAGAGCTAGCGTAATACATATACTGACTGAAGCTGCTTCCAAGCCTTCGTGTCCCTGTGCACGATCACCTGGCCAGTTTATACTGCCCCCAGCCAAGCCTTTCGTGCCCCTTGTGCGCGATCACCTGGCCGGTTTTACCGTGCCCAGCTCCACACTAATTCACCCACACATTATGCACTGGTTTTTCGACAAGTTACTTTATCAACTGTTAGCCTTTCTCCTAATCTTCACTTCAATTAATACAACTCTGTCATGCGCATCTCTGCTGATATGCATTCCTCCCAATACAACGAACAGAACAAGTTTGTCTCGTATACCAGGAGCCCTGTCTAAAATCATGTGCAGCCTAGGTGAGCAAACTGACTATACTATCCAAAACAACGAACAGGACATGTTTGTCTCGTATACCGGGGGCCCTGTTTAAAAACCATGAGCAGCCTAGGTGAGCAAACAGACTCGACTCTATCTCGGTATGATTATCATGCAGATGATGACTAAAAGTATTGCATGCTTTTTGTAAAAGTCTTCCAAAGTCTCCGTCTAGGATACTCTTCATAATTATCCTTACGATCTCTATTAACAAACTAATTTCCAAATTAACCAATCTCTATCAACTTTCTGGAGCATTATAATTATTCAATATGCACATGCATTCCGCTCTGCATACTAGAATAGAGACAATGCCAAGACCGCAACCGTGTATGTTCTAGTTATGCTGTCGGCAGCTTGTTCATATTACAATTTCTCGTACAGTTGAACAACTCCCATGGTCTTTAATTTCCAAATTAACCAATCTTCATAAACTTTCTGGAACATTATAATTATTCAATATGCAACTTGCTTTCCGCTCTGCATACTAGAATAGAGACAATGCCAAGACCGCAACCGTGTATGTTCTAGTTATGCTGTCGGCAGCTTGTTCATGTTACAACCATCCACTCCTAATAAACTTTTGCATCATTCATTTGATGTCTTTGTCATTTATCCAGTTGCACAGTCACACAACATTACCCATAAATAAACTTACTCTATACATTAAAAATCCATCGCACGTCAGTCTCTATGAGAGGGGAGACGCACAAACGACAACGCATGGTAACCAGTTAAAATTTGTTGTCATACCTGGCATTGCAGCAGCAGGGTATTCAAGGTGTTTTTTAGTCCTGCCCTTTGTCTCAAGCAGTAGTTTTTTCATCTAAGTTGCCCTGCACTCTTGCCATTACTACGCCACCTCCTCTCCCTTACAGCACTATATCAAAACAGCTGGCTTATGGCATGTTACGTACAATAAATGCTGTCGTCGCTTTCTGTCCAAAGATGTTATGCTCAATTAATTCACAATCAAATCAAGAAATGAGACAAACACAAATACACTTGCTCTATCTTACCGGGAAATACCCATGATCTATCAAACTAAGTATTGTGATTAATTTTAAGCTACAAATTTTGTTAACTGGAATTTTGTAAACATCTATCTTAAATAAATCCGGACAAGCTATGCTGCCTACATATGAATGTGGAGCGTGTCTGTGAGGAATATGTTGCTGCACCATGGCCAAGCGGGAACCAATTCCTCCTGTGTGTTCAGTCTTATTCTAATCACTCACTCGCTTCCATTTGAATGTATGGTATCTGTAAATGCTTTGTCAATTAAAAGGAAAAGGTAGACAGCTACAATACGATTACGATTTCACTGGTGCTTTAAAATCTACCGACGACGGCTTCACATTGTCCACCTGCGAGATGCGCAAATTTAATAAGTTGAATTTTTAATGAATGTTAAAAAAATGACAAATTGGTGAAGATTATAGACATTTTCAGACAAAGCATATTTGAACATACATATATATTTCTATAAATAGCGACAAACGGTATTTTAACACAACAGCTTATTTTTTAATAGGCTGTTTCTATAGGAGTGACTTGCTTCTGTAGTCTAATAGTGATGAGATTTTCATGGTAGAGCGCAATCGTAATTTATCACGTATGATTCAAGTTCAATTACGAGGCTTTTAAAACCAACAATTAGTAAGTGTTCCGACCCGGCTCATACGGATCTACGTTAGGTTTACAGTTAAAAATTATTTATATTTTTTATTAAACTCGGAATTAGATAGTTCCCTTTAGAGTCTGCTCACAATAGTGTTATTATTTGTTAATGTTAAATAAGAATTTGCAAAATCAATACATGTTGAATGGTTCTAAGGCTTGGATTTAATCAACGATGTGCCTGAAGAATTAATAATTTTATTGTTAAAAAAATATTAATATAATACTTTAGGTATTCATTAAAACATTTTCCAGGATAGATAGAGTAATTATAAAACAATTTAACATGTGCAATGGAGGTTGAAGTACTTGGACGATTTGCAGTTTTTAGTTCTACATTTTTAAAATTAAACTTATATACATCTTACACCAAGGCCTTAAAATATGTGGACAGCATGACTTGATTTCAGTTTTATAAGTACTCAGGCTGTCCGGGAATCTACCACATGAAATTTAGACTCAGTCTTAGGTATGTGTTCATGAATTTATAGTTGCTAATTTCATGACCAACTGCAACCAATCCCATCTATTTAAAGTCAATAAAACTGTATAGCCACCAACTTTTAATGGGATCTTCAAGTCTCTTCAGCTCAACTTAGAAAGGTCAACATTAGTAGACAAAGCTTAGATTCTAAAAGTACTATTAACTAGCATGTATTGCACTCTGCAATATATACAATTGTATTCAATATATTGTTTAAATATATATATATGTGTATCCATATGTGAATATATCAGTTAATTTATATGAAAATGTACAAATAAATATACTTACAACATATGTACAAAAACACACATTGTTCTTCTTACATAAATCTCTGATCGTTTTTAATATTAACGTGTACTTAATATTGTAGTTTTTAATGTTTTGGCAGGAAGATAAAATTTATATTTTTAATTGGCATCAGCTACAAGCGGTATACATTAATACGCACACCAAGTTATTCTCGGTGATTAAATAGTGCACAATAACGATCATACCTAAATCAGTTTTGGTATTGATGGTAATAGAGATTATGTTTAGTTACTGATGCATGGTTCTGTTGAAATATGTTTACTTTATTTTCTTTATAATACCTATTTGCCCATTCTTCTGGGTCGAAGGTATAATAAATACAAATATGCAGATATACATAGTTATTATAGTTATGCCTTTTTCGGAAGTTTAAAAGCTATAGAATTAAATAATGTAAATAAATACTTTTTTTGATTGAATATATAATAATTTACTAGATTTGCATAAATTAAAAAGGACTAGGAACCAGTACAAAATATAAAATAAATGTTCCGAAATCAAAATAATTTTATACATACTTCTGGGAACATATGAATTGAAAGACCTATTATACTTAATTTTAATATCCATAAAGTTTATTCTATTATAAAAATATATGTAAAATAGTATTTTAGTGCTAACGTTTAATCGGTGAAAGATATGATAATTGAATTGGAAACCAGAGAATACCAAAATCTATACAACTAAATATTTCGTGTGCAATCTGGTGTATTCTGATCAAGCTCTCAAATGTTAAAGAAATTTTCCTGATACAATACCGAAAGTAAAAAAAACCGCCAAACATTTTTTAAAATTGCTTAATAAATATAAAGTTAAGTTTAACTCAATATGGCTAGCCACCTTGTCCACTGCCCATTGATTGTTGTTGCTGCTTTTTCTTGTCGAATATGGATAACTTTGACCTGACTGCCCCTTCACACACCATAATACGCTGTTGAGACGGCTTCTTGTCCAATTCAAAGCATAATGAATCGGTATTTAAATGTCTTTTGAAATCTGAATATCGATGCGACTCGCATGACAGATAACTGGAGCCCAGCGCGGAAGCAGCTACAGCAGCTGCAACACTACCATTACCATTACGAGTATACACCGAAGCCGGCAAAGAATCCTGTCGCTTTCGTTCAAAGTACTCTACTATTTTGGCTATTTGTGCAGAACGCGTACTGGGCAATGCGGTAAAAGAACGATCATCCCAAAGAAGCGAATCTGAGCTGATGTCATCAGAGCTGTCCGTGTAGATGGACGAAGTGCGGTTCTTGCAGTAAAGCAATTGATTCGTGGAAAACGGGCTGCGTTGCAATAGGGAGTGTATCTCCGAATCAAGAGCCAATCGATTGATTATGCCAGCTGTCGCTGGCATCTGTGAATCCGCAACATTGGCACTTACTAATGAGTGGTGACAAGTATAGCGCCGATGGTGTGTGGGCGGAGGTACAATTTCAGGATCCAATTCATCCAAAGAATCCAACGCTGTTGAGGAGGATGTGTTACCGGCGATTGCTGCACTTTCGTTATCTAAAAGCAAAAGAGATGATGAGGTTGTGGGAGAATCACTGTGATGATGTTGTGTAACTGCAGCAGCAGCCACTATTGCGGTGGTTGAAGTAGGGGTTGCATAGTAACAGCATCGACAAAGACTTGCCAGTTTATCACTGAAAATGAAAAACGTTAAACGACATCGACATTTGACGATCACAAAGTGCTTACTTTAGTTTATGATTTGCCAAAGTTTCAATCCTCAGCTGTGGTTTTAACTGGTCATAGCAGCAGTTGCTATTGTTGCCACTACCGGCGCAACCGACAACTAGCGATCCAATGCCGCATAACTGTCGGCTGTAACTAGTGGTGGTTGTAGCCGCATCCGATTCTTCATTAAAGCACGAAAAGAAACCACTTTCAATGGAATCACGCCGGGTCAGGTTTCTTTTTGGGGGGAGTGGCTCGCAGGAATTTTTTTGCTCATTCGGTTCGCGGTCAGTGACTGCAGAAACTGCAGCGAGTGATTTTTCATTCTGAACGAAACAAGTAGGAGTCGGGGTTATTATTGCCACGTCTTTTTCCGATAAGCTACTTTTGGAAAGCTCTTTGCAGTACTCATCCTTTTTTTTTTCACAAGTCATTTCTGTGTTTAGTTTAACAGGGGTCAACGTGTTGGAAGAGGAGCTTGTTTTTAATAATGCCGTAACTTCAAGCTCGCTTTTACTGTACTTCATAATAGTTCCGCTGCTTCCACGAAAAAGTGGATGTGTGTACAGTGAGTTTGCGCGATATTTACGTGAGACTGGCATTATAGATGGACGTATAGCGCTGTCATCACTGCTAGACTCAGCATCAGCGCAATTGCCTCCTCCATCAAGATCTTCGCCCTCTGAGTTACAATAATCACAATCGTCAATATCAGTAAGAGCTGATGTTACAAGAGAAGCTATTGCAGCCGTTCCAGAAGCTGCCGAATTGCTGCTCCGTTGAGGCAACTTCAGTTCGATAGCGCTGTACTTTCGCGTCAGTTGTGGCGAGACAGGTAAGCTCTTTGGTTCGCTACAAGTAGCTGATTTTTTCGAAGCACAATGTTTAACTTCGATTTCAGTGCCAGGCGTCATGGTTTTACCCTGCATTGCGACTAGCTCCTTAAAAAATGGAGCAGACATCTCAAAGCACGAGCTAAATAAATCGCCCACGCCCGCAGCGTATGTCTTTGGATTAGCGCCTAATATCTTCTTAACACCTCGAAGTTGTGCTAGCGCCGTAAAAGGGTTTGGTTTCACCCCGTTGTGATCCTTCGTTGACGATGGTTTGTATTGCGGATCCTTAAGGCACATTGTTTCACCCACTTTGCGAAGCGTTAGAACTGCCGTTACTGGTGGCAAAAGTGGCAGTGTTTCCGATATGTTCGTAGTTGGTAAAAGGACCGAAACCGTTTGAGAGTCCCCTAATTGTCGTGGTGGCGTCGGCGAATGCGTAGAGGATCGCTGTCGTTGCATTTGATGACAACGCGCTTTATCACTGGGTGATGTATGCAGCGGAAAGTGTATTATATTCTCACTGAGTGAACGGCGGTGTAACAGAATTTCCGCTTCTAGCTTTTGTGTAGCACGACGAACGCGTGATTTTAAAATATGTTCGTCATATTCGCTGCTCCCCGCCAACCAATTAGGCGTGCATGGTAAAGCCGCAGAAGCTGACTTACAACTAATACCGGTACTGGGGAAACGAAAACCATCTTCATCAACGTCTCGTTGGACGCGCGGTGTCAGCACACCGGCTGGTGCTGTATAAATATTAGCAACAGTTGGGGCAGTGCCTAAACTTATCCCATTTTCTATATCACTACCGTTCAAAGAACAATTTATTAATTCCAGCGAGCTCAGTGGACTCGCGCACCTTGACTCGTGCTCGCACTTTTCTAAAAGCAGCGTCAGCTTTTTAGTTGTATCACGGAAAGTAGGTCGACTTTTGGGATCGTACTGTGTTAAAAAAAGAAATTTTAATAAATATCTTCACATATCTATACATCCTCAAGAACTTACTAGACAACAGTAAAATGCCAGCCTTAAAAAATCAGGTGGGGTATCCATTGGACAGAGCTCAACGAACGCCAGATAGTCAAGACCAAATGAAGCAGTGCGTGGCATCAAGTCTGGGTCAGCTTCGATGCGTGCGATAATCTCGCACTGAATAATTCCGAAAGAAAAAACATCACTCGTCTGATCGTACCATTGACCTTTTAAACACTCAGGACTAACCCAGTACGGTGAACCAACCGTTTCTAAACGCGATTTACCGCTGTAAGCGAAAAAATTAATATTAGGATGCGAAAAAAAGGATTCATATTTAAACATTAATAACAAAGTAAACAAAAAAAATGGTTTGCTGTATATTTTTCTAAATAACACATGTTATATATGTACTTAAACATATTCTTTGTTTGGGAAAGCTCTTTTAGCATAAAAATTAAAAAAATATATATATACAAATTGTCCGATATTGAATATACTTACGACTTTACTGGTATTTTAGCAGCCAATCCAAAATCACCGACAACAGCTTCATATTGTCCATCTGCAAGATGACGTACAAGCACGTTCTATTGGGAAAACATTTAATGACTTTATTCTGTTATTTAAAGAATGCGAACAAACCTTGCTTGTCAAATCTCTATGAAAAATGCCAGCGTCGTGAAGATAAGTCATTCCGCGGGCTATGCCCAGTGCCAGTCTTACTTTCTGGGCAGCGCTAAGAAATGCCTCTTGGTTAGCCAGCAGTTGCTCCAATGAACCCCCATTAATGTACTCGGTCAACGCATGTAGTTGTCCTTCGTGCACACAAACTCCCATAAAGCTGTAAAAGTAGTTGGTGTAATTATATTATAATTTGGAGCACAAGGCAAATTACAGGGAAAAAGAATTAAAACGATATGTATAGAATAGAAGAAATTGTTCAGTTTGGTTAAGATATATGGTATATTAAGATATTATATGGAAAACAAAATGTTTTCGATACAAAAACTCTTTGTTCGACCTAGTTGACCTCTCTTTTTAATTCTTCTCATATGTAAACAGCGTTCGAACGATACATTCAAAAACCAAAAAGTTCTTCATAAGAAAACAAGTTTTTTTTACCGATACTTCTTTTGATAGCAATATAATAAAGCTGTCCGATTATTATAAGATTTTGATTAAATCTGACATAGAACTGCATTTTATATGCTATTATGACAGGAAATTTGGTAGTTAACTTAATCAAGCTGGTGTACTGCATACAAATGCGATTATTATTTAGATTAGGGCCATAAGTACAAAAACTCAACAACACATTATTTATTTTATATTTATTAAAAAATAAGATGCTCTTTAATTTAAGTGTTTGGATTATCAAATCATACCAATCTATTTTTTTGTACTAACTGCGGTAAATCGCGTTTAGAGACAGTATTTTCATCGTAGTGGAGTGTCTAAAAGGGGTGTCTGAGTGTCTAAAAGGACAATAGTATGAAGAGACGAACAGAGTTTTTCGTTTGGAATTAAGATGGTTATTGCTTTCCCAGTATCGGCATTACTGGCAAGTCAGTTTCTGCGACTATACCATGCTCGCATAGCTGGTTAGTGTGGAGCAGTAAGTACGACAAAGGTATTATACAACTTTGTGTTCAACGTGGTACACGGAATCTAGAAGGCGATTTGTTAAGCTTGTGCTTCAAGATTTTCGTTCCTTTTTTGCAATGCAGGATAAGATTATGATACCCGGCAGGGTTCTACGAAAGCATCTGCTAATTAAAGCGAACTAAAATGGATACCTGTATTTTCGAAACTAAAGCGTTAGTACAGCGCTATCGACCTGAAGTTGTCTCAAAGGAGCAGCGTAACGACAGCTTTTGAAATGGCCGCAATAAATTCTCTTATAATACTTATCAAGGTCAATATCACATCTGTTATTTGTGGAGGCAGTGAACTATTATGAAGTGGAGTAATACAAGCTTGAAAGCCAGCAACTCCCCCAATACACTGCTCCCGGGAAATAGAACCGCATATTTGATTACTGGCCAAATTTGAAATAATTTATCTATAAATAAAAATAAAATTTTATCAAAATCCGACTTTTACCGTCATATAGCTCCCAGAAGAATAATATCAAATCTCTTATTTGCATGCAACAAAATAACCTTTTTTTATTCGCTTTGTAAAAAAGTGTTTTTAAAACACATTAATACTATTCCGATTATGTTATTGCTGAAGCAAAACCCTATTAAATATTTAAAATTATAAACACTTACCTTAATATGTTAGCATGAGACAATTTATTGAGCAACTGGACTTCCCGCAACATGTTAGGCCGATTGGCGCGCAATTGATTCATTTTTAGCACCATCACCTCTCCAGTAGTGCGATGGGTGACCTATATATAAATAAAATCAATAATTATATAATGAAGTTGTGTACTTCTGACCTAAAACCCAAAATTAACAAGAGGACTCTAGCTGGGAGTACTCGACTAGAACCTACCCTGACTGCGCGCTAAGAAACATTTACAAACGTTCTATATGATATAATGATCCGATGTTGATAAAATGTTGTTTATATACGAGAAGCATAGTGGAACTTATAAGTGCAGAGTTTGGTCAAGATATCTTGATAAACAAAAAGGTCTTCCATAGAAAAACTTAATTTTCGACCGATCGTTCCCATGGTAACTATATGATATAGTGGACCGATGTTAACCAGATTTGGTATATTTATGAGGAGCATAGTAAAGCTTATAAATGCCGAGTTTTGGTAAGATACCTTGATAAACAAAAAAAGTTTACAAGATCCAACCTTTGGACCGATCGTTCCTACGGCAGCTATATGATATGGTGGTTTGATCCGGCTGGTTTCGAAATATGTACTGTCGCAAAAAAAAAGGCGGACCAATGCAAAGTTGCAAGGCGAAAGAATAGAAAAATACAGACGAACATGTCTATATCAACTCGGCTGTTGATGCTGATCTAACATATATATATTATGGAGTCGAAGATAGCTCCTTTTAAGCGTTATACTTTTCATGAAAAAATTAGAACACCCCTACAAGGGTTTAAAATTTCTGTGATATAACTTATCCAAGCATGCGATCTCAAATGTGGTACATGTATATTTGATTATTTGGGTCTTCATACGACATTCACTTTAAATCTACATGCCTCTTTTCCTTAGATTACAAACTGTCATTAGGAATTAAGTATCTATTAGTTGGAAATTGTGACTTAAAATGTATACTTTTTTTGTTTAATAATGATAAAGAGTGTATATTATTTTTCTATGCCACAACATCTATTATTCGTAAAGCCGATTGCTGTATCTTAAATAGTATTTTCACTTTCAGTTAAGTGAGAAATAGCCAGTGCGGAAATAAAACAAGAAGCAATTGGCAAACGCCACAAGAAAATCCTTTTTCCACTAAAACCAAGATTGAACAGTAATGCCAAAAACCTGTCTGCCGCCTGAGACGTCTATTTGAGGCAAACCTGACAGCAGGTTACGAAAAACCCGCCTTCTGTAGTTTGTTACACGGACAATTAACTTGCAGGTTTCAGCTCCGCTCATACGGGGATATTCCCAAACGGAGAAACAAGTTTTATAAAGCGGCATTGACCACGTTTGACATCGATTGCATCGGCAGCGAAATTTTTTAACTATTTCCACATGCAATTTTGTTTACTGTTAACAAATATTTAATACGATTTAAAGCGGATTTTCATTTTTCATTTTCAAACAAGTTTTAAGTCAAAAGTGATTACCAAAATTTGATGATGCCCATGTACAGTAATTTTTTATACTCTAATAAAGGGGATTAAAATTTTGTCATCTAATATGTAACTCAAAAAAGGAGACATCTCACCCCCATAAAGTATATATATTCTAGATCAGCGTCAACAGCCGAGTTAAAACTTTGCCTAGGTCCCGGGGGTCCAAATTTCGGAACCGAACAGATCGGACCCCCATGTCATGTAGCTGCTATAGGAATGATCGGTCGAAAAATAGTTTCATATGAGAAAAAACTTGTTTATCAAGCTATCTTGACCAACCATGGCTTACGTTTAAAACTATGTTGCTTATTTACGAGTCAAATCTTATCATGATCGCTCTATTTTATTCGATAGCACTAAAGAAAGAATCGGTCGAAAAATATGTTTTTGTATGGCAAAATATTCGGTTTCCATTAATGAGCTTTACTATTTTTACATATCTGCAAAAACGTAAGGCAAATGTTTAAAACATTTTCTGGCTTTATGTTTTTGTCGCACGATGGCATACAAGCAAACATGTACAATGCTTGTGTGAAAATGAGTGTAACAGGCAGAAGAAGACATATCCGACGATCTATGAAATTATAAGAGCCCTCGCAGCGTGAGTTTGTTTCAAATTATAGTCCCGTTTTCATGAAATCGATATCAAAGTCATGTGTTTTGTGAGAATATTTTGGAGCTCATAGACACCAAATTAGATACGCTTACTTTTCGAAAGTTTACACAGATAGACAATATATTTTGTTTTCTGGATAACTCACCCCTCATTCCACCAAAATTTAAAATAATAAAAAAAAATGTTTAAATACGCTATTTTATTGGTCAAGTCCTTACACACATTATATCATATCTTTGGTATTTACACATATTTAGATGCCATATTAATGATCTTAAAACTTCATAAAGTTCGGACAAAAAAAGTTAAGTATATCACGAAAAAAATTTCTATAGGATGGAACTAAAGGAAGAGGCAACATAGCTACAGCGCAAACTGCAAACAACAAGCGGTATACTTGCGTGTGAGTATGATTGTAGAAGGCGTGTTGACGCAGTTAGTTGCGGGGTTCGGGGAATCTTCTAGTTAAGAACTCCCGACTTGAGGTTCCTTACTTGTTTATTGCTTAATTTAAAGAGTATTATTGCTGCCTGTTCATGCAGGGCTCTATTTAATCTTATTTTGCAGAATAGTGCTAGACTAGGGGATCGTGAATGTGGCTACCGTTTCTGAGTTCTGACCAGTAGATTGAGGTCGTAGCCATCAGCAAAGTAAACAGTTAGACTTGAATGGAATTTGGCCCAGTTTGCTTTCTTTTACGCCTGGCTCGTGTTTGTCTGTATCTAGTCTTCTAACTTGCTTTTCGTTATTTTGGCACGATTCTACTTTGTTGTGCAACTCATCAACGGCAGAGCGAGCTTTTATATAAACCCCACTGCTAAAATCAGTTATAAACAAGAATATCTGACGACTAAACGGTTTCTGTTTTTTTTTTTTTTTTTAGTTACAAGTATGTTTAACGTGCTTTGAGTATTTTTGCTTATATAAAGTAAAGTTTTCTAGCTTATTGATTACTTAACCAAGGGGGGAAATAGCTAAGTTCGACGGCAATCTTATCTACAATCACAAGCAACTTGCAACTGATTGCCTTATAGTCAAAAATAGCAAGTGGGCTTACTACTAATATATATGTATGTAATTTGAAACAACAAAGAAACATCAAAAATAATTTAGTAAATCTCCGATCCATATTAAACAGTAGGCCACATGTCAGAGCAGAGTTATACAGACATAGTAGTAGATAGTAGAGTTATGATACTGATTGCTATTAAAACTGTTTGGCCTGACTGACTGATGAGCGATGTACGCACATCCCAAACCGTAAGAGCTGGAAAGCTGTAACTTTTATTTAATGGAGGTGCTCTTCAAATAGACGAGGAGTTCATGACTTGCCATGTGCAAGTCCGGGGTATTCTCGCTTTTAGCAACATATGCTGTTAAGATGAAATATTATACAATAGCTTAATGAGGTAACGAAATTGATGCAAGAATATCTGCACTAAATGCGGCCAAAAGAATGCACGCATTTATTTTCTGACCCGAGTGGAAGAGCTGAACGCCGAGACTGAAAATTTTAGCGAAAAAAGGTTCTACAAGAAAAATAAATAAAGAAAAATAAATATATAAAATGTGTGGAAATTTCACATGTACTCACTTCAAAAACACAATACAACATTTTTGCAAAGTATAGCCCGTGGTAAGCATAAAATCAAGCAAAAAGTGAAATGCAGCAAGTAACAAATAAATAATTGCTTTTTACCCCACTCAAAATAGGTACAGTTGGCTGCGCAGTTCAGGCCAACTGCATGCCAACTAAGCCGCGCTTCAGCTCATTCAATTTCACATTTCAAATGTGAGAAAAAATTATTTATTTGTTTTCCAATGCTGTTGGCGTCTGTTAGTTCGCTCTTTACATTTTTTTTGAGACCCCGGTGCCATTAAAATAGCCGTATATATATATATATATATATATATATATATATATATATATATACCTCAATAAGTATATATATATACTTCAATAAAGTACAATAACCACATCACCCCCACTTTTTATACAAGAAAATTTGTAATTTTAGTTTCATTAATTTTTTTGAGCTGTTGCGTGCAGCGTAAAAAAGAAAGTGTAATTCAAATGCATTGTTTTTCAATTGATGTAAGATAGATGCATAAAACGCAAGAAAGAACAATTAACATTGTAGAGTTGAACACAAAATACACATGTATACATCATCTGTGAGATTTATTTCTATACTTTGATGCATATCAGCGTTACTTATAAATACTCAATTTTCAGAAGTTAATGCTAGAGTGCTTCGAAGAAAATTAATGTTTGCCCATTTATAGCTATGGAGTGGAGACGGTGACGATTGGTCAAAAAAAAAAGAAAGATATTTCATCTGTTTGTACTATTTTAAAAGCTACATTGGTGATTCTTTCAGGATTTTTATATCGATTTTTATCAATTGCTAAGAAACTGGGCAAACAGACAAGCGGACATGGCTAGCACAACTCGGCTAATGATGCTGATCAAGAATATATATACTTTATAGTGTCGAATTCATTCTGCTTGTTACATACTTTATACCCTTTTTACCCATTTTTAATGGGTTCAGGGTATAAAAATAAATAATTACAATAGTTGTCGAGGTGCAGCCGAAATATATCGGAGAAGAAATATATGTAAACAAAATTGTTTTTATTTTTGATTTTCATAAAATCTACCTCGGCTAGCTAAGTCGCCAAAACCAGCACTAAAAAAAAAATAAAAACATTTTCTACTGATTGTTCCAATAAGAGATAAGGATAAGGATTTAATATATTCTCTACAGCTAAATTTATAATAGGCCGATTTTGCTAACACCATTTTAAATAATTATCTCTAAGCTATTGATTCCAGTGGTCAAGATATTTTCCAAAAATAAATGTGTGTATTTTTGTAAGTTTTTTTTACACGGGTAAAAGCTGCTCATACTAGATTTATAGTTTATTATTTAATCTTTTATTTAACTGAATATTTTAATTTACAATAAAAAACAGTGCGATATTGAAATTTTCCCACAACGACAATGACCACTTGATTTTAAACAAAGCATTTTACTACAGTTATAACAAATGATAACGGTACTGATCGGTCTGTGTGTGTCACTGTTATGTAAGGTTTAACATACTTTCGGTAGCTGGTTTGGGTTTCTTATGCTGCGTCAAAGCTTTTGTTATTGAACATGTTTTTGCCGACTGATTAGTGCGTTAACCATTTTTACTTTTCGCCAAGCTAAGTAATTGTTATGTAAATTACTTTTCCTTTCAAATTTCTGGTCTGGCATATGCGAAATTACTACTACCTTTCTCCACTCTAGCGGTATAACTTTGACGGCAATCAATTTAGCTAGGTAGCTGGCTTAAATGCTGAACACAAAATATAAACCGTATCTGCAAGTGCAAGTGAGAATCAAACATTTGCTTCTATCGAACCATAACCCCAAAACAGAACTGTGTAAGAAAACTATAACCATTAAATACAGCTTATCCTTAATATTACCTATACGCGTTCCAACTGCCACAATGCGATGCGAAAATATCGAAAAAGCCAAACGGAATAACGAACAAGTGAACGCACTTCACACACTATAGGCATACCGCAGCATGGTGTTTATTAGTCAATGCGTATCTAAAACATATACACAATGGGTAACGAAATATCAAAAAGCCATCGAACGATCGTTCAATGAACTGAATTATAACAAAAATTCGCTCGCAAAACTCGTCTATTTAAAGCACTAGAAAGGAAAAGTTACAATTCAATTTTTGTCAATTACTACTATTTTAACATCAAAATATGCTATTTTCCCTATGAAACTGAAACAAAAATACCACATCAATAAAAAACGAGAAAGTCTGGATAATTCGGCACGCAGAAAATTAAATGCGCTTTTAGACATATGAATTACGGTTTTGCTGATATATGAGAATAGTGAAGCTGGTAAATGCTAAGTTTGATCAAAAATGTCTTGGAAAACAGAATATTTCGCCATTTAACAACACATTTTTCGACTAATTTTTCCTATACCGATATTTTAAATATTAAGCAGCATAGTTTAACTAATAAAAGCCCGATTTTATGATTCAGTCCAACAAAATTATAATACCTTCTACAAGGGTATAACAAATAATACGCGAAACTTGCCTCCCTTTTAACTAAGAGCCTTATGACTTTCGTTAAACCAAATATTTTATGACATAAACTTAACGTTAACGTCAGTGTTGTAGAAAGCATAGAAAGTGTAAAGAAAACGAAAAAGTACGAATATCTTCGGCACGACGAAAATTGAATACCCTTGTAGACATTTGCCTTACGATTTTGCAGATGTATGTGAATTGTAAAGCTCTTAAATGCTGAGCTTGATGAAAATATCTTGCAAAACAGATATTTACTATTCTGTCTACTTTGGATAAGATATACTAAAAAACAACAATACATGATATTGTGGTTCGATCTTGCCGGTTCCGAACCTATTTACAGTTTTAAAACGATAGAGACAGGGACATAGAGACAGACAGACAAACGAACGGACATGGCTATAGCAACTAGGCTCTTGATGCGTCTACAAGGCCGTAACCATATGTTGTATGGTTAGTGGTGTTATACTTTTATCACCCATTTTCTATTAAATATTTTGATGAATCTTTAGAGGAGCTCATCAGTCTTTATTTTTATTTTCAAATATTAGAAAAAACAAAATTTACGTGAACCAAAAATGGTTTCATCCGATTCCACACCGGTTTGCAGCCTTGGTTAAGATATCTTAAAATTCAAAGAAGTTTATAGAAGAACTTAATTTCTGACCAAACTTTCCTATAGCAGCTATGTGTTAAAAGTGGTCCATCCGGCCGGTTCCGATATAGAACTGAGAGACTAGTTTGCATAGAAACAGACAGACTTGGCTATATCGACTCGGCGGCTGCATATGGGGTACAAAAAGAGTTTACCATGCTTGAATTAAATAAACCCGGCTGTACCGTAACGTATGTTAGAAATAAATATCTTTTCATAATTTTTAAAAAATATACAAAGCTAAAATTTAAACAACTTTATATATAAAAAAATTCAAAGATAATACACTTACCCTGTAAACTTCTGAGAAAAAACCGGAACCAATTTTTTCTTTGACAAAATCATCCACAGAATATAATGCTGAGACCGCAGTACGCAGTGCGCGACATGAAGAGCCTGTCACAAGTCGATCAGAGGACATTGTACGCATTACCGATGCCGGTGGAAGACCGTAGCAGCTAGAGCCATTGCCAGTACTGAAGCTTTTACCGATACCGTTACTGTTATCACTGTCATTGAATACTGTAGATGACGAATCAGCCGGCGGTACATCACTATTTGCCATTTCCTTCTGACAAACCTGCGGACCGACAACTCTATAAGACGTACACATGCCCGATGTGCTTTCCTGCCACAAGATTGGCGACGAGTCCACTTGATCGCACGACTTATCACTGTAGCTGCTACTGATCTCTGGGGGGCCAGGTCCACTATGTTGATTAAGGCTCATAATTATCAGCTACGATGTATGTTTTTGTATAGAATAGAAGGTATGGAAGGATTTGTTGATGGATTTAGTAGGCCTGGTTCAACAGCAGCTCTCTTAAGCTGCGATAGTTTAAAAAAATCACATTGGCAACATTCACAACAAAACGGCAGGGGGGAGCAACACGAACACGAACACGAATACGTTTTATGTTAAGCGATCAAATTTTATATTATTTTTTTCAGGCACGACGTAGAACAACACTTTTAAATACCTATTTGGCGAAGTAAATTGACAGCTTAGAGAAAAATTCAAAACTCAATCACAAAATATTTATTCTTTTGCTCTTGCTAGTTTAGATGACAAGAAACTCTAGTAACGGTGACGTCATCTACAGATCCGTCAATTTGGCACAATTGTAGGAAGATTTTTGCATTGGAAGCGCTCCGGAAGCCTGCGGAAAAAAAAGAAGAGGAATATACAAATAACTAAACATTTAAAATTGCTTGCTTCAAATTAAACTGTAGTAGAGTAAGACACAGAAATACATACACGTGCATTTAAATGTCATTATAAAATGTAATAAAGACTTGCTGAAAACCCCCTTCCATGGTTGAAAAATGTGCGGAATTATTTTGTATAAAACGACTTTGTTTTCATTGGATCACCTACAAATTCATTTTCAAAGATTTATAGAAGAATTTGAAAAAATCCATTGGGTGAAAAATGAAGAATAAAGGTTGCATGGCCGAAAGTTTAATTTTTTGCCAGATCGTAATTGTTAATACAGTGAGAGCTCTCTTGAGCGGACAGTGAATTTCAGGCATTTTTTGTTTACTAAAGAAGACTGTCCGCCAAATAGAGGGGGAACGAGTGTAGCTTGACTTATAATGGTGGTAGAAAATGTTAGTCCAAGTGGAGTGTCCGCCAAATAGAAGGGGAATGAGTGTCCAAATGAGTTGTACGCCTAATAAGAGTCTGCTACGCCTTCACATCTGTTATATCAAAAAAAAAATCAGAGACTTCCGAAAGTTTTAAATGGGTTTTGTACTCCAACAATGCTTTTCTGATTAGACTAAGCATGAATACACCAGCAGCACAAAAACTTTAATTTGGACATGTACAGTAAACTTTTACTATTTTATTTAGTAACTTTAAGTGCACGATTGTACACAGCAAATTGAAAACGGTTCGCTTTTGAAAAGAATACTGAACTCCATTTTCTTGCTATAAAAATACACGTATATTATAATTATTTTATTATAAAATCAACTAATATATACAGTTCATTTTACATATTCAAGAAAATAAATTCCGAATTTAAATATAGCCTATCCTAATACACTTAAACTGCTGTATTTCTGTACTTACAACTAAATTCTTCAGAAGTACGAAAAAATATTGGTGAGCCGAACTGATGACATAACATATTTTGCTTTAATCACAAAAAATAAAAATACAACTTGGCAATTTCATTTTCGCCTTTTTATCAGGAAATTTGCGATAAGATAGTAGCAAAAATAGCCAAGCAAATCTACAAATTGGGTAGAAAAAATGGCTAACTTACCAGCAATGAAAGCCAATAGATATTAAAATCATGCAACCATTGTTGGACAAAATACCCAATACACATAGCGCATAGGAAATAAATATTGTTTCCACGTGATTGGCTTATGTTAGAGATGGAAAATCAGATTAAATCACTGTGCTGGTGGCTCTAATGTTCTAAGGAAACATCTGCGTATGACATTTCTGGGGGCACGAGTGCGGGCGCAATATTTTTAACTTAATCTTTAAAAATGGTCGTTTGTAGTCTAAAACTGAAGGACATCGATTTTTTTTTCTTTTTTTTTTTAAATTTTTAATTTTAAGCATCATAAGCTGCACATAAAAAACTATCCCTATTAAGGAGGAGCAGAAAAGTGGACATAACCATAAATAATTAAGAATATATATACCTTTAACACAACATTGTATACAGGCATATATTAAAAGAGTGATCCAGTCGAGTTTCTGACTAAAATATATTCGAACTATCATTTACATTCGCAGCTGTATATAAACGAAAACATACTCACGCAGTTCACTTTTTGCAGAGGATTTGTGCCTCTTTACGCATAACCACAAAATTTTCCAAGTCGACGTTGCCTAACTATATACATACATACATTCGTATCTACTTTTTCAGTCGATTTTTTTTTTTATCATTATAGCGTATAAGAAGAAAATAACAATAGTTAACAATAGTATATGTAAACAGATTATGTAAACAAAGCGATCATAAGTTGTTAAGAATAGACAAGTAAAGGGCTCTAGTCGGAAGTTACCTACTAGTGGATACCTTGAACCCTCTTCTACTACCACCAAATGCAGCTCGTGGTACCAACTTGTTTGCCTAAGCAGTAATAAATTAAAAAAAAAAAACGAGATAGAAAGCCTATATTCGGCACGCCGAAGATTTAATACCCTCCTCTTTATACACCTTTTTGTAATGCTCATAATGCTTTGCCCGTATCTAAGAAGCACAGGGAAAATAGTTAATGCCGAGTATGGTTAATATATCTTAAAAAACAAATAGTTATTTATACATGAACCTCATTTTCGACCGATCGTTCCTATGGCAGCTATATGATATTGTGATGCGATGTTAACAAGATTTTACATAAATGAAGGAAGCGTAGTGAAACTTATAAATGCCGAGTTTGGTCAAGATATCTTGATAAACAAAAGAAGTTTTTAAACGAGAACATACTTTTCGACCGATAGCTCTTATGTACTAAATTGATTTCATTCTCTTTATACCCTGAACCGCAGGACAATATTAAAAGATAGATAGCCAAGCCTACTTCTACAAAATAAATGTGTCGATTTTCATATTGGGTATTTGTTGACCATATATTGTAGTATATAAATGCAATTAAGGATATTTATTCTCTTAAATTTATGTGTTATGTAAAAAATAAAATTCGAAAATTCTAATAGATATGTCTTCTACCTCCTTATTTATTAATTATTGCGGCAAGTCATCTACTCTAACGTCGCACAATGTACAATTTTTTTTAAATTGCCATATTGGTTTAAATTAGACCTTAGATGCAAGTAGAATAGACTAGAAGGCGTACGAGAAAAACAAACGAAAGCGCAAAACACCTAGTATGCAGCAACTGACAAGGCACAAAATAAATGCAAATCAAAACTATGTATGTATGATTATTGTCGACCACCACGAAATCCAATAAGTATGAACTGAAATACTGACATCAAATAAAGGGAAAACATGACATACACACATAAATACAAACATATTTTTTAAGATAAAAAAATCATGGAAACAAAAATGATAAATATTGGTTTTACATATACTATATATGCATGTGCCAGTATGAATGAATTCACACAATAAGAAATGAAACATCTGTCGCAGCATTTGCATTTTCCATTGAAAAGTGGCTTTCCACTAAGCGAAAAATACGTTGGTATTGGAAATCGGCAGACAGTATAGACTGAGCTTCTCATCATCTATGCTAGTGTTAGTTTGCTTAAAGTGTGTGTGTGTTATTTTTACATTTCCGCTGCTTACAAAAATAGGTGCATGAGTGTTTATGTAGCCCTCCACAATAAACAGCATTCCAAGCATACACAGCCACAAAAGGCGCAGCAACATAACAGGGTAAAAGAAGAGCAAACCTTATGTATGTATATATGTATGCAAAAAATAATTATAGTTTTGTATATTCTAAATATACACATATTTTTAAATTTTACGAAATTATATACATCATTTGATTTGGAAATATTGATGTACTATCCCAGGCAAAGGTCACATCTATGGCAGCAATTCCGACGAAAATGCAGCAGAAAAAAGAATGAAGCATGTACACTCACAAATACATACGCTCACAAACACGCACACTCATACACAAGCATATTCAAGCGCAGACAAACATTCAAGAATATGTTTGCATTTATTGCTTTACGAAAAAATTCTCACCAAAAGAAAGTTAAGAATTCTTTTTTAATGTTCAAATTGATAATATATAACAACTAAGCATTATTTACCAGTTTTTTAGCTGCTATAATCCAATAAGTATGTAGTCCATGTACATATGCGTTTCTGCCTGCACTGTAAATGTATTAATTTGAACACAAGCACAAACTGGACACATAAGCCTTGCGCATTTTGCGACTTTTCATAGGAGGTAAAAATTTCACAAAATAATGCAGCCTTGTTTACTGCGTACTACATACATTCACATAAAAACGTTCATATATGTGACTTTTTTTTAGACAACAACTCAAAATTCACTGTTGTGTTTTATACAATGCACTTTATGTCGGCCGAAAAACTTAACTACATTTGAAGCGTCGACACTACTATTTTACATTCTTAAATTGTTTCGTTTGGTATATTTATATACTTATATATGCAATAGTGAAAAATCGTTTGTAAATTGTTACGACACGTGACCACGTCAAGCTTCGTTTCTGCCTCGATAATTTTAACAATTAATTTAGCAAGTGTGACCGCACTTGGCAACACAAATCACCAATAAAAATAAGGTATTTAAATCTCTTAGGACATTTTAGTATTTTTCACTCTGCTATGTTAATACTGTCTAAGATTCACATTTGCTTATCAAAATTCAGTCACACTTTAATTTTAGTTTTGCTCATCGTACTAGTCGAACAAAAATGTATGACAACTTAATAGCGAATAGCTTCAGTAAACGACATTTTTGCTGTCATTGCATTAATATGAGAACTTATAAAAGATGGGAATTTTTTTTATTTGAATAAAAGTTTACTTATTCATTTTTATATATTTCATATACTTTCTGGCATTAAAATTATCCTCCACTTCATCCATAATCTTGACTTTTTTTCGCGGCTTTCTAGCCTCTAAACGTGACTTACGCTCCAAATCGGACAATGTACTCAGATCCAATGGCAGCTGTATGGAACATATAAATTTTTGAAACACACATGCAAGTAAAAGTCTTATATAATTACTTTTATTATTTTGCGGGGCTCATGATATCGAATGTTAATGGTGGATCCGTCCGAGTGCACCACAACCGTCGGATAAATGCGGCAGTACACAGAACGATGCAACCGCGTTACCGATGCAGTGGCTGAGGACAGGGCACGCGTCTGTTGTAATCCTTGAGCACAAAGCTTAAGCATTTTACCCAATAATATTGTAAAAGCAAATATTTTTTAGCGGATTTACAGAAATTGCTTCCCAAAATTTGTGTTCGATGAGTGTGACCAGTTGTTAAAATTGGCAGGAAAAAAATATTGACTGCTACACTGCCAATCGAATTTCGAAGAAAAGTACTCGATTACTTTCACTGTCTGAATCGATAATAATTATTTTTGTTGAAGTAAGTAGTGTGAAAATCGCATGTAAAATAAAACTTATTAAAATTTAGTATAATTAATTGGGAAATTACCTTTGTACATCTGATTCTAATGGGAGAAATAGAGGCCGATAGCCCGAAATAAACATTCTTAATCGTGTTATTATATATACGTTCGTTTGGGTTCCGACAAAATTACATAATTATTGCAGAACAAATTTTCTGTGCGAATTCTGAACTTGGTATTTAGGTTGTAAAACGAAATCTGTATATACTTAAAGACACTTGGTGCATATACATATACCTCCTGTTCTGATTTAAAAAACTAAAACTACGGAAACACTTATTTTTGTACTTTTCAGCGTTCGGCATAATTATGGCAGCACGACGCATCACTCAATCTTCGATCAACTGGTCTGCTCTGGCAGAGCGTGTGCCCGCAAGCCAAAAAAGCAGTTTTGGTGCCTTTAAGACAAGGTCGGACATATATGTGCGCGCCGTGCTGGCTAATCCAGAGAGCCCACCAAAAATTGATTGGGCATACTACAAACGCTTGATACCCGTTGCTGGTCTTGTCGATAGCTTCCAGAAACAGTACGATGGCTTGTCCGTGCCCTACCCAAAGGACAGTGTGTCGAAACTTGTTGATGCCGAAATCGAGGAATCGCAGTGCGAGATATCCAATTACAAGAAAGCTTCTGAGCAACGCATTCAGAATTACCAGAAGGAAATCGCTCATTTGAAGGCATTGCTCCCATATGACCAAATGACAATGGAGGATTATCGTGATGCATTCCCTGACACCGCTTTGGATCCGATCAACAAGCCAACGTTCTGGCCCCACACTCCAGAAGAACAAGTTGGCTACAAATCCAAAGAACAGTTGGAGGCCGAAGCCCATGGACATCACTAAACGCATATGTGCAAATAATTCAGCATTGAATAAAGGTGTTTTAATTCAAATAAAAAACATTAATGAAGAATTAAAATCAATATCAAAATAAACTGATATTAAGTCGAGTTGGCATTTTGTCATGTTTTTTTGCCAACTAATTCTTCACTATCAAATGTTTTATGATTTTGAAGAACTAGACATTATATTTAGCAATTGATAATATAATAGAAGACTAATGTATGTATATATAACGAAAAAATTGCGAACAACATTTTATATGAATTTAAAGAACTTGGCGAAATTTTGTAAATTCTACAACATTACGCTAGTGATGAGTATCGTAACATTAATATCGCTTAGGCCATCTCTATTATATTTTTGAACAAAGAAAGAATAACATTGTCATTTGAGGTTCTGTTAGTGGTTTTTAACCCAATTAACAGAATATTGTGATTCAAGTATTAATCGCTTTAAAAGACAATCTAACTAGTCTTGGCTTGTAAGTTAGCCGTTACTTGTACAAACTGTCGCCCAGTTCATTCGGTTGTTTAGTTTTCGTATATGTTAGAAATTAACATCATAGGCTGGGTAGCGGAACTAGGTGAACGACAATAGTTCGTTCAGTTTAGTTTGTCGGCCGATCGAACATGTCCAAAACGATTTAATACAGCTAAAATATATTTGATTACACATAATCATAGTTTGCAACATAAATTGCACAGTAAAGCTCGTAGTAAAGTGAAAATTATAAAAAGACAAAACAAAGTGTCTCAGATCGGCTGCCCTGCATGAACTATTTAACAATTTTGCTGTGCAATCGTAAACCAACGATGCTCTCGCGCCGGGGCAAGGATAAATCACAGGCACATAAAGAGGGCGTAGTGGGGAAGTATGTGAAGAAGGATACCCCGCCGGAGATACCGGTGATAAATGTGTGGACTTCCTATTCAGATCAACATCAACGTGCAAAAAAGAAGTCTTTGCAGAGGTGTGCAAGTACTTCGCCTAGCTGTGAGTTTAAGCCGCGCAGCTCGAGTTCTAGTCGCAATACGTATTCTTGTAGTGATGTTCAGCCGGATTACTATCACGCGCGCAGAGCTCAAAGCCAGTTGCCGCTAAACAATCAGCAATCACTTCCAACACAGGGTAACGCACAATTTCGAGGTGGTAGCAACCAGCTATGCCAAGGAAACAGTAACTACGTCAACATTGAGCAAATGGACCGTATGCGACGTCAGCAGTCATCGCCACTGCTACTAACCAACAATCCAACAAGGAGCTTCCAGCGAAGTTATTCTGCCCAGAAGCCCTCGCAACCGCATGGGGGTACAACTAGCTATGACGTCGATCATGGACTACTTAACAGCTCCTACGCAAATTTGATACAAATGCCACGCCGACCCCCATCACCTGCACAGTTCGCAATGCAGCAACCACAACAGCTCCTACATCACCCTTCCACTACATTTGGATCAGTGATTCGATTCGAACCGTCTACAATAGCAACAAAAGATCAACCACGGTATCCCCAGACAAGGTATGGAATAGTTCATTGTTCATAGTTCATACTCAATTTAATTTCGAGTACACATTTTCAGATCACCACTAGGACAACATCATCAGCATCAGCAACAACAATTGGCAGCGCATATGGTTGGTAGTTATTCCAGCGATTCGTATCCAATATATGAGAATCCGTATCGCGTATCTTCCATGCGGGTGACGCAATCACAGCGCTCTGAATCTCCAATTTACAGTAATACAACAGCGTCATCGGCTACGCTTAGTGTTACTCCACATCATCATCATCATTTACCAGTACCCTTAGGTGGATCTCTGAGTGGTCGAGGCGGAAGCTCTGGCAGCATGCGTGGCGCCTCTACTTCGGTTCAATCCCTCTATGCGCCACCTCTCACGCCGCCTGCATCCAGTACTTCAACTGCTGGAGATAACAATGGTAACGGAGCGTTGCAAAAAGTACCCTCACAGCAGTCGCTTAATGAGAGCGAAGAATTGCCACTGCCGCCAGGTTGGGCCACGCAATACACGCTGCATGGTAGGAAATACTATATTGACCACAACGCACATACAACGCATTGGAATCATCCATTGGAGCGCGAGGGTCTGCCGGTTGGTTGGCGCCGCGTCGTCTCGAAGCTGCATGGTACCTATTATGAAAACCAGTATACCGGGCAGTGCCAGCGGCAACATCCATGTCTTACATCCTACTACGTTTATACCACGTCAGCAGAACCTCCTAAAGCAATACGGCCCGAAGCGCCATTGTATTCACCACCTTCACATACACATACTGCATTGGTGCCAGCCAATCCGTACCTACTTGAAGAAATACCAAAATGGTTGGCTGTCTATTCTGAGGCGGACTCCTCCAAGGATCATCTGCTGCAGTTTAATATGTTTAGCCTGCCTGAGCTCGAAGGCTTCGATAGCATGTTAGTACGTCTCTTTAAGCAAGAGCTCGGTACAATCGTCGGGTTCTATGAGCGCTATCGGTGAGTGTATTTGGCTTCAACTGTAACTCTACTCTTAATGTATCTGCTTTTCTTTACAGTCGCGCATTAATCCTGGAGAAGAATCGACGCGCCAATCACAACAAGCTACAATGATTCTACAGGCGAATATACCGGACTTGTTATCTCAGCTGTGGTAGTCGCATCTAAGAGTACGACTGTACAATTCGTACAACCGGTGTATTTTTATAACTTACTGAGATGTTTTTCAATGTTTCGTTAGTTCAGTTTGTAAACTGTGATATAATTTGACTTAAAACGAATGAAAAATGGTTTCAAGAATATAAGTAATTGTGTTTAACTGAACTAAAAAAAAATGGTCTACGCTGGTAATCCGATATACATCTGTTTTTAACATATTATCTTATTGTTATTTGATGTTTGCGTTTTGGTGTATGAATATTAATCAGTTTTTTAATAACTAATAGATATGGAATAATATTCGGCCCAACAAAGACTGTAAAGGAAGAACTTAGACATCTCAAAAAAGTGATGTGAGTTAAGTTTATCTTATCATATATATGTACATAGGAAAGTACATATAAATAATAAATGCTTTCAGTGTATGTGTCTTTTCCTTATGTGAATGCTCGATCTGAGAGACTAAGACAAAGAGATACTTAACTTAATATGTATGTACTTATGCTATGTAATCTTTAATTTCATATGTCTATAAGTATAATTTATATGTGTTCAATCCGACTGCTTATCCGTCATAGTTTAACGCATATCAGCAATTACTTTATAAGATTATTTATAGAAAACGAAGTTCTATTTAAATACACGATATTCAACTCAATTCAACAACTGAAGTGCAAAAACAAAAGCTACAATCGTCGCACGACAGAGCTGTTGAAGCGCGCCGAACCCCACAGCGGCGTGAGCTTCGTTTATACATAAGTATTGGCGCTGTGCACAGCGCCTCAGTATCTTGACAGTCGTGCCGTTGTTGCTATCGTTAAACATATTGAAGCTACCGATTGGTAAATTATAAATTGAGCACGTTAAAAGTTACAAGAATTGGTTATTAATTCGCTTCGAGATTGATTTACAGCACTATTCAATAGCACGATCAGTGCAGAAATATTCTGTCAATATATAGCGTAGATTCTTCGGCATTGTTATTGTTCAGAAATCAACAGTGCTTTCCAATTCACAAGCTTCCAAGTGAAAGTTCTAATCCGGCTGCCAAAGACATCTAAAAATTGGTTTTATATGCTGCATTTTTTATCGTTTATTTATACAGTTGGTTAAGTCAGCAAATGTGGATATTTAGATATAAATAAATTTACGCATATACAAAATACGAAGCATGCGAATGTATTCATATTCATATGCGCATATATGTACATGTACATATGTACATACAAACAAAAATAAAGAGTGTGATCAGAAAGAATTGCATTTATGTTCCAACGTGACCAGTTTTCGGTCGGCGCAACTTTGACTTGTACTTTCAATTCCCATTCAAAATTCCCATTATTATATGAAGTGTCTACTAATTTAGGTATTTTTAATTATCGCAACGCATTTATCGGCGTCTGAATTGCCCAATTAAGCGGAACATGCAACAACTGTAACAAGCCGATTAGCGTTATCAAAGTGGTGATAAGTGGCATTTCAGGATGTTGTATACTTTTTTTAAACAGCTTTTGCAAAGTCATCTGTTATGCCATAAATGAATAACTAAATGAGCAGTCGAAAAAGTTTTTTTTTTTATTAAGTGTAACAAGCCATAGTCAAGGCGGCTTGATTTATAGGAACCACTGCTATATATATTTTTCTGTGCTTGTAAGTGTTAGTGATACATTTGTATACAAGCGGTAGAAGTGATACACTTGGATATGTGTGTATGTACATGAGTAAGAATTTGGCTCGTATAGATTGTTGTTAGTTTTGCTAATGCTTGCAAAAAGCTCGATTTGATTGCAAGCTGTAAAACTATTGCGGACCGTATAAAAAGAATAAAGAAATGTTCTTCCACAGGCCATTTAATGAAATAGCAACATAAAAGAAATATCTGAGGTATTTAAATCCCTTCAAGAAACTTTAAAATATAATACATTTTATATATGTATATCCAAATATTCTTTAATAGCCTCCTACATTAACTGTGTGCTTGCACTCTGTACTTTCCTGTTCATAATTGATTGCCTGTAAAGCCTGCCCTGCATGCCTATTGCATCTACTCTCAATAAGCGCGATGAAGATATATATATCAGCTAACGATTTTTTTTCTGACTTCAATTGATATACAATCTACAATCTATTGATATTAAGTACTGCAATTTGTAAAAGTCAATAACTTTTAAAATTTTCATCATATACAATGGAGACCACGTACAGATGCATTTTCAATTTCCGTGGCCACTTTTGACTTATATTTTAATAAATGTGATTTTTTAAAATAACGGCTTAAAATTGGAGACATCTTTTTAATTCTGTAATAGTTCAATTTGCACGTTACAATACTTTAACTATTTTAATGTTCTTTTAAAACACAAGGTGTAATTATAGTAAAATGGTAATGGGACATTTAATTTGCAGGTGTTCTAAAACAAAAAAGCAACAAAAAAAAAAACAGTATATTAATGAAAAATGGTACTTTGCTTGAGTTATTTACGGCAAACGCTTGTAATATTGGCTAGTAAGTTCTTAATAAATATTTTACCAAATCAATTGTTCAAATGTATTTTATAAATTCAGTTGGTTTTGGATACGCTCAAGAAAGTAGTGTTTTTACAGTAAATACTCATGACCTGACGGTGCTGGTGAATGCCAATGAAAGCTTCGTGATTTATGCTAGGTGAGTACTATATATTAATATTGCTATGAAGAGCCTTTTATCAATCCAATTTTAAATCGTACAGCAACAACCTTGCAGACACTGTTAACTTAACGTTAGTAAAACAACATGAAGATCATGTGGATTTGGATCCTGAGTCCTTCGTATGCCGCGCAGGTATCTCATACAATGAAACTATCGTTGTAACGGGTCGAGCAGCCGGTCATGTAGAGATCACTGCAAGTAGCAATTCTAGTGACACATCGATGTAAGAAAAAGTTCAAATCACTTGACATTTTAATATGTGTATACTCTTTTCAGCACCGATGCACTTTTTGTGCGAATCGTTGTGGCTAAATCTCAAGCTATTATTTACACTTCCGTTATTTTTGGTTGGATTTACTTCGTGGCGTGGTCAATTTCTTTTTATCCACAAATATGGATCAACTATCGCCGCAAATCGGTTGAGGGGTTAAACTTTGATTTTTTAACTCTGAATATTGTTGGATTTACACTGTATAGCATGTTTAACTGTGGACTCTACTTTATCCAAAGCTTACAAAATGAATACGGAGATAGACATCCTCGTGGCGTCAATCCAGTTCTATTGAATGACGTGGTATTTTCATTGCACGCTATATTTGCGACAAGCCTGACTATTGGACAGTGTTTTAAGTATGAGGTAGTTGTGAATCAAATGTAAAAGCTCCTTAGATTAACCAAATTTTGTGTTTACATTTAGCGGGGACAACAACGAGTCTCAAAAACTGCTTATGGTCTCTTGATAGTTTTTGCTCTTGTTGTGGTCATATCAGCAGGGTTAGCCGGAGGATCTGTAATTCATTGGCTAGATTTTCTATACTACTGCAGGTACTAAATATGAAATTTTAAATATTTCTCAAGCGTTATAATATTATTTTACTACGCAGCTATGTAAAATTGGCGATTACAATCATAAAGTATATACCACAGGCCTTAATGAACTATAAAAGGAAGAGTACTATAGGGTGGTAAGTAAGCACAAAATAAATTCTCTAACAAGTGTACATTTGCTTAACAAACACCTTTCAGGAGTATTGGCAATATTTTATTGGATTTTACCGGTGGCATTCTGAGTATGCTACAAATGATATTAAATGCACATAACTACGGTAAGCTAGTACTAGTAGCATTAATAATATGTATAAATTAAAACCGACTGATTTTTGTTATGTTTTTTCAGACGATTGGGTTTCAATATTTGGTGATCCGACGAAATTTGGTCTCGGTTTGTTTTCTGTGTTGTTTGACATATTTTTCATGCTCCAGCATTACGTATTTTACAGGTACATATATGTACATATGTGTTTTAACTAGTACGAATTTCAGTCACAAGATATCATTATTTTCAAAATTTTTTTTTAGATTTTTAGAAGCTGTTTTTAGCTTTCCTTTATTGATAAAACTCTTTCTGTTTTTCGGTTTTTCAGACAGGCAAATAAGTCCTCAATTTCTTCTCTTACGACGGACACTGAGGTTCAAAATAATGGACAACTGAACAGGACAATTGAAAAATAGAGTTAAGCTAACTTAAATATATTGTTGACAATAATCTTAAGAGCGAAAATGACCCTCAAAACGATCTTCACAGGGAGATAACCGAGAAGTAGAGTTAAACTTTCTTAATTATATTGTTGTCATTAATCTGTAATGCTTAATTTTAATATGTACATATTTATAAAGCTACTTTAGCATATGACAAGTGCCCATGCATTCAATAATACATTATGTGCTAACATACATACGCATATACATATTTTGTTTAAAGAAATCTTGAGCACAGAAAAAACTTTTGGGCGGATACCGAAAGTCGGGTAATTTCAGTTCGGCCTAAAGGGCCCACCTAACATGGATGGAATTGGTGTGACCCGATTTATGATCTACCTAATCGGAGTGTCCATAAGAGTAGTGTTAGCTTTATATACAATTTCACATAATCCCATAATCAAAAAATTGAATCGTAGTAGCGCAGTAGGTCCTTTTCAGATCATTCAAATCATGGCTCATGCAACTTCCAAAATCTGAAAGATTAATCCCTAATTCGCGAAATTTTGCATGGCCATTAATACAATCTTAGTGAAGGTACAAATTGTGGCCTAACCATATGCCTAATAATTTATCTTAAAAAGAAAATAAATAAGTGAATGCTTTAAAATGGATGGGATATGTTTGTTATTTTGAATCAATCTTCTATTTGATCTATTTTCGAATTCAATATAGAATGAAACTACTTTAAATTTGCGTAAATTTAATAAAAAATTAATGTATGGAGTACCCTTACCAAAAAGTGCATTTATCGACAACAGCTGTGTCCGTCCGATAGGCCACACTGTGACTTTCGAAATGGGAAGAAGAAACCACTTGTTAAGTTTTTAGAATTTTAATACTTATTCTTAAAATATATGCATTCATATGTATGTAGGTGTTGTATTTGTTAGGAAGGATTATTTACATTACGCTGGCAATGTCTTGTGAGAAAAAAAGGTATTATTGTTAGATCGCTGCCTATGTATGCATTTAAATGTTGACACACGAGGTGTAATGAATTGTTTGTGAATTTACCTGTGTGTATTAATTTTTAAATTATTAATTGTGGTTTGCACGTTTGCTTCCATTTCAGGCAAAGCACGTTTCTTCTGGAGGAGGAGGAAACTTTTGAAACTTCTGTCTCAACGTCGCAGGAAAATATTAATATTGAAAATGTTACAGACGATATGTAAGTGTATGTGATTTACAAGTTGACTTTATTGTTTTGTAATGCGTTTACATACAAACATAAATATAAAAATAGAAATCGACTGCTTTTTGCACAAGTTTATGAAAGTAAAAATCATTACAAAAGGCGCTTTTAATGAATTTTCATTAGAGTAACGTAGACAATTCAAACTTATCTTGTCCTAATAATACCAAAAAGGTAAGAAACTTGTACTTCGCAAAATATAGTTTGGGCAACATAAGTTATGCAAAAAATAATCGAAGACCATAATAAACTGATGTACGTACATTTATTTATACTTGCAGGCCCATTGAGCCAATGGCTTTTCTACAAGGCCTTCATGTAAGTACAATTGGCAATAATACAACGGTTTTTATCTGATTAATTGGTTTTTATTTTCTTGCAGTCAGGAAACTTGATGCAGTTTAGTCAGGTAACATGTACGCACATAATAAATAAAACTTCCTATGATTGCTTAAAGCGCTGGGACAGATCTGATTGCACAAGTATGAGCGAAAAACTAGCTACTGTAGAAATTACGCTAGTTATAAGCGAAATGTTAATTTCAAAAAGTCCCATTGGCTTTACTTTGTAATTTATCGTGTCAACTTGCAGTGAGAATGCGTGTACGCATTGTCGAAAGCGCCAATCGGCTTGTTGTAATTTTATCTCTTGCAAAATGATTCCTGTCGTTCGAGTTGCGATCAAAATGTCATTACTCACGTACGTCAGCAAGGCTACTTCAGAGATAGATATGGCCAAGAACACTAAATTGATCAGTGCACCGAACGCATCGTACCGTTTGCCTCCAATAAAAGACTCAGCAATAGCGTAATACTGATTATAAAATCCAACAGTGATGCCTAGCAGATGGCAAATCAGCGAAAGGACTATTGAGAGTGACATCAAAGCCATGTACTTCGTAGTTTGAATGCATATAATTTTGTATTTCACGGCAAGCACGTCAAGCTCGTCCGCTAATGTGCAATAGCGCTGAATGCGGTAATATTTCGTGTATAGATTTTTATGGATCTCCTGCTGCATGAAATTCACCCGTTGTACTAGCAATTTTAGTCTCTCATTTAAGGTTTCCATAATGTTCTTCGCTATGATCATTGCACCAAAGTAGCAATTGTTTAAAAAATTTGCAATTATCATTGGAAACAATTTATAGAGCGACCAGGTCCAATAAAGCTGAGGTTCATTACGTTTTTGCTGCAGCACCAAAGCCATCTCCATAACAAGCGGGAATCCAATGACTTTAATCAGTGCCAAGATCACAGATTTTTTTATTGTGTTGATTTCAACATGAAGTTCATTTAACGTTTCAAAAAGGGGGACGTTGCTCATCATTCGCGCCACCTTCTTGCTCAATAGCATTTGAGTGAAAAAATTGAGAATAGCTACTGTCGTATTCATATAGCTGTATAATTTGACGGCGTCGCGTAAATTGAGTTGTGCATTTGTATAGTCCAGGTACATCTGACGAATATATACACTTGTAAATAGGATTGTTACTAGCATAGCATATGCCAAATATTTCTTTGAAAAGACGAAACGTTTTCGACCACGCCAAGAGTAACGATTGGCGAAAAGCCCGAACAACGTTAGCATAAATATGAGCGTAACAATCAATAATTGGATTAGCATGTTTTTACCCAGAATGGGCTTCCACGAAAAGAGACCCATTGCAGATGAAAGTTGTTTTTTACTGACCTAATATTTTGTACATTTCATTGGTATTTTAATTGTTCCTTTTGCCGATTAATATTATCTTGATGTCTTGTCCGAGTCCGAAATGACGCTAAACTACAATGTCAATCAATCAATATCAAGAGCAACAATCACCCTTATGAATTAATTAATAAGAGAAAATACTAACGACATTAAAAAGCATGCGATTGTGAAGGATGCCGTTAAAAGCTACATAAATATGTTTTATATATTTTTTTTGTTACAACGTGCAGTCATAAATTTATATAAACATTTGCACATTATTTTTTTTATATTCAAGCAATCCGTGTTGCGTGAAATGATGCTTCAAGATATCAAGTCACAGATTAACTCCTTACCCAAGTTGGAAAATCACAACAATGGTGATTATTATTTTGGCATGGTCCTTGAGGAGCCGCCAAAGTCGCACTGGATGTTTTCAATGCCATTAAACAAGCTGTACATCCGTATGAATAAGACTTTTAATATTGATGTAAAATTTAAAACAAAAATGCCTATTCAGCCGCTGAATTTGCGAGCGTTTCTTTGCTTTGTTAAGGACGTCAGTGGACCCGTTCTGCGCTGTCAAAACCATTTAAGCACAGATCCCAGTAAGTAAATAATAGTTGCATAAAATGTTCCCCTATCAATAATTGGTTTCTTTTAAGTTAAGGACAATCAAAGTATGCGAGAAAGTTTACTACGATGTGAAAACCCAAACACTTCTTATTGTGGAACATCTGAAGGAAAAAGTATTGCAGAACGATACTCTGTGCTTGTGCCATTGAATATGAGTCGTTCTAGCCACGAAAGCGGTGGATTCGTTCGCCAAACTCTTGCCTTCAGTTTTGCCTGTCAGAACTCATGCTTTGGTCGCAAGGAAACCTGCTTGGTTTTTTGCTTGGAAAACATGAAGTATGTTATTCATTTGCAAAAATTAGGTTTACCCACAAAAAATTCTCTTTCCAGCCGTGACATATTGGGTCAGCAAGTATTGTACCTTAAAATTTGCACGTGTCCAAAACGTGATCGCAATCAAGACGAACGCCACCTAGAGAGCAATAAAAACAAGTTGTTTTTCGATGCATCGGAAGAGGAAGAACTTGACGCAACATGTGCCAAAAAGAAGTGTCGCCGCACTATGAAAAACGAAGTTAAAGATGAAAACGAGAGCAATGATAGCTCCGATGTTCAACCTGTCCCAGCTGATTGGGAAGCCTCGCGTGCGATAGATGGTGATTACAGACTTGTCATAAAGTTTTCAAATAAGGATTTGTTATTGCGGAGCATCGAGGGTATTATTGAAAAGACGGCTGTCGCAATGATACGGAACCCACAAAATTTAAAACTACGCCAACAAACGAACCATTTGCTGAATTTAAAAAGTAAGCATTATTCGATTTAAGGGTTGCTTCAAATTTGTTTAAATGTGTCATATTTTTGCTTACAGAATGTGCGTTAAAGTTGTCCTAATGTGAAATGTAGCAAAATCAATGAAAATTTCATTTAATATACATATTTTCCACAAATTTGTTTTTGATATATAATCATTCCTATGGAAATGATTCTACACTATAAGTTTTGTCATACATCATACATCAATATATCATATTTAATTTTACTATATCACAATATGCCTACAATTAAGGAATTTGATTTATTTGAAATAGGAATTTTATTTTTGAAAAAAAATACTATACAATACAAATAAGCCTGTGTATTTTCTTCATACCAATTTTAGATTTAAATAAGCTTTATTTGAGACAGATGTATGTACAAATTCTAAATATCACATCCGTTTTTATGGTCAATGCACTCATTGCATTTTCCATTTATATACCCTTGCAGAGGGTGTTATAATTATATCATATAATGTATAGCTAATATAAGGAGGCGTCGTCTATGACCCCATTAAAGGAATATAATCTTTTTGTTGCCATAGAAACGATCGGTGGAAAATTTAATTGTTAAAAACAGTTTTGTTGTGGCCTGTATCTTAACTAAACTAAGCCCGATAGCTTACCTAAGCTAAAGGCTTTATTATTATACTTACATATGAGTAAAGTCCATCTACTGTATTATATAGCTCTTATAGAAAGAATTTATAAACAATCGAGAATGTATACAAACGTGTTCGTTTTTATACCCTGTATCAAATAAAATGGGTAGACAAAATGTTCAATAACGTTGTTCGTAATCAGGACGAGGAGGTATGTCGATTTATCTCTATCTGGGAAATACCAAAATTTAGACACGAATCATTTTAAGCGATATCTCGTCCCATTTCCAAAAGATGGTTGGATATAAATATAAAGACTTGGTTTTTTAAGCATAGCCGTAATAAGAGCTAGATACACCAAATTTGGTATATTGACACAGGCAGAAAAAACAGCGCAAGAATTCAAATTGGGCTATATTAAAATTTAACTTGTCATAAATACTTACTTTACGTGTATGTAAGTTGTCATGGAATAGTGAAAAATAATTAAGATTCATGGTATTATGATTTTGACGGCTTTCTATTTTTAAGTTCGAGAGCTGCTATTTAAAGGCTTCCTACCTGCTTGGAATAACAAATGAGCGAGTGAATTCAACAAAAGCTCAAAGTTTCACTCAAAATTAAAAAAATTGAGATACATTTTTGTGTAACACCCTGTATCCATAAATAAGTGAACATAGGTAAGGTAGTACAACAAAGTAAATTAATTTAGAGCTTGGTAGCAATCGGCAGTCTTGTCTTCTTTTAATTTATATTTGAGCATTTTAGAGATTGAGACATTGAAATTATATGCGATTGGTTATTGTATGTGTAGTTTATGACAAATGTTTTATGCAGGGTGTTTTATAGTCGAACATTATGGACATGTAATATTTTACATGTTTGGTAACATACATAAGTCAATTGTTTATAAAGTCAAGACATCAGGTGAAACTGCCTACACATTCATACTTCATTGTAAGCTACTGAATTCCACTCAAAGCTCAGGCACCTAATCCACCGCCATTGGAAGCATTGGGAGAGGTGCGCCGACAGCGACAGCTACAGCAACGATCTCTACTCATTTTTGCAGTCGCTTGATACAAAACAAGATAACTCGACGACAACGATACAAGTTGGCAGAGAGCGATCTCCAGTTCTCATAGAAAGAGTACGAAAAGCTGTGCGCGCAGTTTTAGTTTTGTTTGATATCGGTTGGTTAACGCACGTGTGATTTCATTACGGAAACCGCTTTTAAAAAACGTACATATATACACACTTAAATAAAGTTAACGTACTTATTGTTAAATAACAATATTTTTGATGCAACTGTGTTAACATGGTGGAAACGGCTACAACAACAACTATCACGCGTACGTCGTCCAGTGCGTCGCCGAGCAACGTTGGGCCACCGGCCACGCCCACTGCAGCGCTGGTGCATCGCAACGACGAGACAACTCGCGGCATATACAATCTAAAAATTATTGTTTTTTTATTGTTACTGCCTTTTGTGTTATTTGCTGTGCTTCTTAAACATCTCTTGGACTACCTTTTCGCTCTGGGACATAAGGAAAAAGACGTGAGCGGAAAGGTAGCACTGGTAAGGCCAGGCGGGCACTTGATTGTAATTTGCTGACGATATTATTATATTTTTTGTAAATTCTCAGTTCGTTTGACTCAGGCGTATATATGTCAAACATACATACATATGTATGTAATTGAGTTAATATAAACATGCAATACATAAATTGTAACGTCACGCAGTTTTCTTCTTCGGTTTTCCACTCTTCACATCTAGTCCACCGAATGGGTGCGGCTCGGTTGCGGTTGCGTCGCTTACCCAGCATTTTTTTTTACTCAAACAAATATTTTCGCCTGGCTTTCCAAAAATAGTCAACTGGTTATGTACATACATACAATATGTATATAAATGATGTATTTCCCTTGTTTGGTTGCCAATGTTAGTTGTTTTTTTTAAATCAAATGAATAGCCGCCGCCATTTTAATGTATTTGCATATATATGAATGAATATGTACAAATACATGCATACATATTTATATAATTAAACGGGTTTCAATGTCAATTGACAGTTACGGCAAGGTCAAGACGGCTGCCAAAACTGACGTATAGATACGTTTGGGAACGCTACGCCTTAAGAAGTTGCCCAACATCTTATACATATATGGATTGTTTTTATTAGAATTCCGTTCGAAAGCTGTAGGTGGGTCGGACGTAATACAAGCATGCGTCATTAAAGCGCAGTCTGTTCTATACTCTGCCAATCACTTATACATATACTAGCCATAAAAAACAGGTTTACTTTGTAAAAAAGGTTATAAACTTCACTTTTGTTTTCATTTTATAAAAAGCAAATTTATGACGTTATGCTTCGCTCCGTCCGGCAACAAAAATGAAAACAAAGATTAAAAGATTAATATCCAATGAAGATACAAGATAAAGAATATCATACAAGCGTGTATTGTAAGCTTTTTGTTTTGTAACAATCGCGCTTTAGTGGTAGAACGTCAGACCTCGACACATATATACACGCTTTTAAAAATACTCACAAATTTCTTACTTCTTTGTCTGACTTAAGTATATATACTACATATCTATATAGATCAAGTAGTCAATTGCAGGCCAGCTAACGGGTCACGTTATTTTAATTACGGGCAAGAGCTAGTCAACTATTGTAAATACGCCGCATGTTTAAATCAAACATAATCAGTTTTTGGATGCATGTTTATACATACATATTTACATGAGCAGCCTATTGTTTGCAAATAAAGCCAATTAAATGGGTCTAGTTTTTATAATGAGTAGTTTACGGCGTTCATACTGTTCATTTGACGAACATACATGTATGCATGGATGAGAAAATGGACGCACTTTCATATATGTTCTACTTTCAAGGTGACAGGCGGTGGGAGTGGCTTGGGTCGCGAAATTTGTCTGGAGCTGGCAAGAAGGGGATGCAAGGTAGCTGTCGTTGATGTC